TTACATGTGTATTATCTGTGTTAGGAGTTGTGGTATTGCAGGACTCTAGGGGCAAAATATTGAATAATGCAGGAAGCATCAAAAGAAGATTGAAGGAATACACAAAGTTACTGTACCAAAAAGAATTGGTCCATCTTCAGCCATTTGAGGAGGTAGCATATGATCAAGAACCAGTGGTGTAGAAGGAAGAAACTCAAGCTGCACAGGAATTAGTGAAAAACAAGGCTTCAGGAATTAAAGAATACCCACTGAGATGTTTCAACAAACAGATGCAGCACTGGAGGTGCTTACTTGTTCATGCCAAGAAATTTGGAAGACAGCTACCTGGCCAACTGACTAGAAGAGATTCACATTTATGCCCATACCAAAAAAAAGGTGATCCAACAGAATGTGAAAATTATCAAACAGTATCATTATACCATACACAAGTAAAATTTTGCTGAAGATAATTCAAAAATGATTACAGCAATATATGGACAAAGGATTACCAGAAATTCAAGCCAGATCCAGAGAGGATGTAGAAAGAGGGATATCATTGCTGATGTCAGATGGATCTTGGCTGAAAGCAAAGAATACCAGAAAGATGTTTACCTGTGTTTTATTCACTATGCAAAGGCATATTACTATGTGGATCATTATAAATTATGGATCACATTGCAAAGTATGGGAATTCCAGAACACTTAATTGTGCTCATGAAGAACCTGTATATAGACCAAGAGGCAGTCATTTGAACATAACAAGGGGATACTGAGTGGTTTAAAATCAGGGAAGGTGTGTGTCACAGTTGTATCCTTTCACCATACTTACTCAGTCTATATCCTAAGCAAATAATCTGAAAAGCTGGACTTTATGAAGAAGAATGCAGCATCAGTACTAGAGAAAGATTCATTAACAGCTTGTGATATGCATGTAACACAGTCTTTCTTGCTGAAAGTAAAGAGGACTTGAAGCATTTACCAAAGAAGATCAAAGACTACAGCCTTCAGTGTGAACTGCACCTTAACATAAAGAAAACAAAAATCCTTACAACTGGACCAATAAGCAGCATCACAATAAATAGAAAAAAAAGATTGAAGTTGTCAGGAATTTCATTTTCTGTGAATCCACGATCAGCACCCATAGAAGCAGCAGTCAAGAAATCAACAATGTATTGCACTGGGTGAACCTCCTGCAGACAACCTCTTTAAAGTGTTAAAGAGCAAGGATGTCATTTTGAAGACTTAGGTGCACCTGAACCAAGCCATGATATTTTCAGTAGCCTCATATCCAAGTGAAAACTAAACAGTGAATAAGGAAGATCAAAGAAAAATTGTTTTTGAATTGTGGTGCTGGTGAAGAATACTGAAAATACCATGGACTGCAAGAAGAACGAATGTACACCCAGAGTGCTCCTTAGAAGCAAGAATGGCCAGACTTCATCTCATGTACTTTGGTCATGTTGTCAGAAGGAAATAGTCCCTGGAGAAGGATATCATGCTTGGTAAAGTAGAGGGTCAGTGAGATGGGCAGAACCTCAATGAGATGCATTGGCATAGTGGCTGCAAAGATTGGCTCAAGCATAGCAAAGATTGTGAGGATAGCACAGGAGCAGTGATACTGTTTTGTTCTGTTGTACATAGGGTTGGTATGAGCCAGGGTGGGCTCAATGGCACCTAACAACAAAAAGAAGCTTATTTGTGTGGGAGGATATAAACAGGTATGAGTCTAATATCACATGGATGGATAGGTCCCAGGAAAGTTATGTATATTTTGCTATAGGATATAATTTATTTTGATTTAAGTGGTATAATATGTATTAAAAGAACCATTTTAGAAAAGTTTACTGTTACATTTTGACTGAGTGAGTTGTCATTTAGTAGGCATTTGGCTGATTTGTTGAGAGTTTGGGGGGATTTTATAATGCATATTAGATTTTACAGAAAAGTTTTCTTCAAAAAAAGTTTTCTTTTTTGTTCCTGGTTGAGCTCGCAGATATAATAAGAGTCTTCTTTTTTTTTTTTTTTTTTTTTTTGGCAGGGGGGAAGAAAGTTCTGTTTTCCTGTCTTAAGAAATTATGTTATTTATCACAATAATAACTAAATGTCATTCCTTTGACATAGGTGATAGAAATTACCCAGTCACAAATTTTATTCTTCTGCCTCTAGGTTGGTAGGATAGAAACCTAAGACATGAGAAATAGGACCTAAACTCTTAACTTATACAGATGCTTTATAATTTGCACATCATTTTGACAAAGATTGCTTCTAATATCAGAGTCAGTCCACAAGAAATACCCAACAGCTCTTCCTGCCTTTCATCCTTTCATCCCACTACAGAAATGCATTTCCTTTCTTGTTACTAAAAGTATTGGCCATTTTCAGAGGCTGAAAGGATACTGCTAAAAATGAATACAGATTCACATGAAAACAAGATCCCTATTCTGCTGATTGGACCAGATAACTTTTAAGGCACTCAGGGCACCTGTAAATCAGTTCATTTGCTTATTTTACACTTTATGTCATGTCATTCCTCCTGGGTTTTGAGTATTCATAGATGGCTGTGCCCTTTAAGAGCTCACACTCAAGAAGGGGCAATCATAATGTAAATAAATAAGTGGTAATTCAAGATGGCATGGTTTTATGTGCTTCAGCTACCTCTACTTGTGGGCCTTCAAAGAAGGCTTGCTCAAGAGTGATAACTGCTTGGGTTTTGAAAAGTAACCAGTCTTCTATAAGATGATGGTAGAGTGAAAGTCAATGTAGAGGAAGTTGTTTACCAGAGGAGTTAGAGAATGTCTGGTTTGTATGGCTAAATGCAAGACTTTAGTTTTCCTAGAGTTGTGAAATATACAAAGTATAAGTTGTGAAGTACAGGTTGTGAAGGACCTATCTACCAAAGCATGAGTTGGACTGCTTCAATTAGAAACTCACTTCTGCCACTGTATGCAAAACTTTGTCTCTGTAAGCCTCAGTTTCCTTTCTATAAAATCAAGAAAATCACAGTACCTTTCCCATAGGATTTCTGTGAGTATTGAATGGGAGTATCATTATAAAACACTTAGCCTGGCAAATATTAATATTGGCTGCCTTTGAAAAATTATTCACAGTTGAAGAGTTTAAGTGGCAAACATAAATAATAGGATATAACACAACTAAAAGATGGACTGCAGGAAGGACAAGAGAAAGCAGGACAACCTGGGAAGATTCTATTGTAATAGTAAAGGAATGATACAGCAATATCCTATTATCTTAGTTATCTAGTGCTGCTATGATAGGAATACCACAAGTGGATGGTTTTAACAAACAGTTTTGGAGACTAGAAGTCCAAAATCAGGGTGCCAGCTCCAGGGGAAGGCATTCTTCTCTGTTGGCACTGAACGGGAACATTCTTGTTTCCTTTCAACAGGCTCACCATTCCTTGGAGATCTCCATGTGTCTTGGCATCCATCTTCCCCTGGGTCTAGGAGATTCTTAGCACAGGGACCTTAGATCCAAAGGACACATTCCACTCTCAGCTCTTCTTTCTTGGTCGTCCTAAAGTCCCTCCCTCTCTGCTCAATTCTCTCTCCTTTTCTCTTTTGTAAGATAAAGGGTAATGCAGACCACACCCAGGGGAATTCCCACTAATCACTTCAGGGCAGTGACCTGAGTAAGGGTGTATTACATCCCACCCTAATCTCCTCACAACTGGCTGATCACATCAGATCACATCATGGGGGATGATTACATCATTACATTACTGCTAAATTACATCATTACAAACTGCCAAGCCACTGAGAATCATGGCCAAGCCAAGTTGATGCATATTTGGGGGTGGGGGGGCGGAACGACACAATCCAATCCATGACAACTACTTATATAAAATCATTAGCTAAACATTAAAATATCATATTTAGTTCACTTGGCACTATTTATGTTTCATCTCTGGTATTTTTTTGTGAAACAAATAATGTTCTTTCAAGCATTTCTTTTCAGAAATTTTAACTAACACTACCAAATGAATACACTTAAAAATTACTATAAATTCATCAAACTGCATGACAAACAAATAATGTTCAAATTTTAGCTGTTGTAAAGTTTAGAGTGGTTGTATTTATTTTATCATATACTTTGAAAATTTAATTATAGGCTACAGGTCTCAGAGTAGCCATGAATTGTGTTAGATAGTCTCTGAGATAGATAATCAGAGTATGGACTCTTCTTTCTGTATACTTAGAGTGCTCCTAAGTGAAAACTGTAGTAAATATAAAGATAGGTAGGAAGTTAAAAGATTCTATTTGAAATTACTTTGTCCTTTGCATTATGTAGGTGTTTAATTTATTCTATAAAGTTAGAATTAACCCTAACTATGAAAGGGACCTCTGGTGGTCTAGTGCCTAAGGCATTTGACTTCTAACCAGAAGGCTGGTTAGAATCCACCAGCCACTCCTCGGAAGGAAGGTTGGGCATTCTATTTCCGTAGTGATACCACCTTGGAAACCCAAGGAGGGGTCGCTATGAGTCAGATCTGACTCCATGGCAATGTGTTGAGTTGCGTTGTTATGAAAGGATAAAGGGAGCTTTTTTACAAATGAAACATTCCAGCACTTAGAATCAATTATGGTGTTTGAGATAAGCATTTAAATTTATATATCCTTTACTGTATATAGAACTCAGCTGAACAAATGTATTTTTTAAAATCTGATGCATAGTTAGTACTAAACAGCTCACCCTACACTTCTGACCTGACCTAAAGGAATCTACTGCAAAGATGTCTTAGAGAGACTACCTTAATAATGTATGGATCCTCACTTAACTAAATGTCCTAAAACAGATTATTCAGGAACTAGTCATCTTGGTTAGGTGCAAAATCAGGTAAATATGCCCTACTTATTCTTTTCAGTGGTATATTACCCTACCTCTTTTAACTTTAATGTACAAATTTATTTTGCTTATGAAAATTAAGTGGTTCTCCTTTTTTGGCTGTGTTTGTTCCAACTAATACTACCAATTTAATCTATGCCTTTAAAAATTCTCTTTAGTGCCCCAGGTTCTTCAAAGCTGTACAGCATTCATTGAGAGATACGGCATTGTGGATGGAATATATCGTCTCTCTGGCGTTGCCTCCAATATCCAGAGACTACGGTAAACTCTTTTGTGACATTTTTCTTTTTCATTCCTAATACACCTTATTTAAGTGAAATTATTTCAAAATTGAGTTACTTACTTTCATAGCTATAATTTTCAGTAACATAGTTTGGATAAGATAAGAAATAAATACCCATATTGTTTTCTGTATATATTTTCTTAACCGGCCTGTCTTCATCTATGTTATCAGGAAAGCATGCCATCTTAACTTCTTTACTACTTCTATTCTGTCTCTTTATACTGTTTGAACATTGAGAGATTTTTTTAACCTAATGGCATAATTTGTTGTTGTTGTTGTTGTTGTTGTTATGCCGTCGAGTCGGCCCTGACTCATAGCGACCCCTCCTTGGGTTTCCGAGGCAGTATCATTACAGAAATGGCATAATTAGGTTAAAAAAATCTCTCAATGTTCAAACAGTATAAAGAGAATAGAAGTAGTAAGCTCTGGTAGCATAGTGGCTAAAGCACTTGACTGCTAACCAGAAGGCTGGCGGTTTAAACCCACCAGCCACTCCTCAGAAGGAAGGTTGGGCAATCCTACTTCTGTAGTGATACTGCCTCGGAAACCCAAGGAGGGGTCGCTATGAGTCGGGGCCGACTTGACGGCACATAACAACAACAACAACAAACAATGGCATAATGGATAAGGCATTTGACTGCTAATAAGTAGGTTGGTAGTTCAAACCCATGAGCCACTCTGTGGAAGAAAGATGAGGCAATCTACTTTTGTAAAGATTTACTGCCTTGAAAACCCAGTGGAGGTTCACTGTGAGTCAGAATCGACTCAATCGCAGTGGGTTTGGTTTTGGGTTTTATAACAGTATTAGAGATAAAATTTACATTATAATTATTCTTTTGTTTATAATTAAAAATTTTTTGAGTATTTTATTGTGTTTAAGGAGAGTTTGCACAGCAAATTAGGTTCCCATTTAACAATTTCTACACGCATGACTCCCACCACTCATCTTTCACTTTGTTGTACAGTGGGGGCTTCTGTGTTGCTGTGGGGTTGGAAGCTATGCCACCGGTATTTCAAATACCAGCAGGGTCACTGTTTTGGTTACCTAGTGTCTCTCTGACAGGAGTATACCATAAATGGGATGGCATGAACAAACAGGAGTTTATTCTCTTATAGTTTGGGAGGCTAGAACTCCCAAGTTCAAAGTGCCAGACTCTAGGGGCTGGGTGAAAGCCCCTTGACCTTGGGCTCTACCTCTTGCTCCCAGCCCGCTGAAGCAAAAGACATCTCTTCACTCAGGCAGCTGTTAGCTGCTAAGGCTGACAAACCCAAGGTCGACAAGTGAAAAGGCACAGGCCAAATTTACCAAACCACACACTGGGCCTTTGATTCAAGTCCATTAAAAGTCCCAAGATTGGCAGAGCATGGCAGCCTGCCGAACAATGACTTGGCTACGTGTAGGGTCCAGGTGTCCCCAAAAACTGGAGACCTTCCTCAAAGTTGCTTCTTATATACTGGAAGCAGTCCACATGCTAAGTAAATTCCACCATGGAGTTAATTACCAATCTACCATGGGGAATAACTACATCTAGCTGCACAGGCACTCAACACCATCTTTAACTACCACAGTCACCCATAGTGGACAGGTTCAGTGGAGATTCCAGACTAAGACACACTTGGAGGAAGAAAGGGACTGTCCACTTCTCACATAATTGGCCAGTGAAAACCTCATGAATAGCAGTGAAACACTATCTGATATACTACTAGAAAACTTTATGAATAGCCCTGAAACATTGTCTGATACAGTGTCAGAAGATAAGCCCATCAGGTTGGAAGGCACTCAAAATGAGATTGGGGAAGAGCTTTCTCCTAAGAGTAGAGCCAACCTTAATGATGTGGATGTAGTAAAGCTTTTGGGATCTCCATTTTCTGGTGTAGCACAACTCAAAATGGGAAGAAACAGCTACAAACATCCATTAATAATCTGAACATGGAATGTGCAAAGTATGAATCTAGGAAAATTGGAAGTTCTCAAAGATGAAATGGAATGCATAAAGCTCAATATCCTAGGCATTAATGAGCTAAAATGGACTGGTTTTGGCAATTTTGAATCAAACAACCATATGTTTTACTATGCTGGGAATGACAAATTGAAGGGAAATGGTGTGGCATTCATCATCACAAAGAATGTTTCAAGATCTATCCTGAAGGACAGTGCTGTCAGTGATAGGATAATATCCATACACCTACGAGGAAGACCAGTTAATATTACTATTATTCAAATTTATGCCCCATCCACCAAAGCCAAAGACGAGGGAATTGAAGATATTTACCCACTTTTGCAGTCTGAAATTGACCAAACATGCAATCAAGATGTGTTGATTAACACTGATGATTGGAATGGAAAACTTGGAAACAAAAAAGAATCACCGGTAGTTGGAATATATGGCATTGGTGATAGAAATGATAGTAGAGATAACATGATAGCATTTTCCAAGACCAACGATTTATTCATTGCAAATACCTTTTTTTCAACAACACAAACAATGGCTATACACATGGACTTCACCAGATGGAGTACACGGGAATCACACTGACTACATCTGTGGCAAGAGGCGATGGAGAAACTCAGTATCTTCACAGCCAAAATAAGACCAGGAGCTGACTGTGGAACAGACTATCAATTGCTCATATGCAAGTTCAAGTTGAAGCTGAAGACAATTAAGACAACTCCATGAGAGCCAAAATATGACCTTGATTATATCCCACCTGAATTTAGACAATTTAAAGAATAGATTTGACTCATTGGACACCAGTGACTGAAAACCAGAGGAATTGTGGATTGACATCAAGAACATCATCTATGAAGAAAACAAAAGGTCATTAAAAAGACAGGAAAGGAAGATGAAAATGGACATCAGAAGATCCTCCGTAACATGCCGTTGAATAGAGAGTAGCTAAAGCAAATGGAAGAAATGACAAGATAAAAGAGCTGAACAGAAGATTTCAAAGAGCAGTTTGAGAAGACAAAGCCAATTATTATAATTAAATGTGCAAAGACCTGGAGTTATAAAACCAAAAGGGAAGAACATGCGTGACATTTCTCAGGCTGAAAGAATTGAGGAAAAAATTCAAGCCTCGAGTTGCAATATTGAAAGAGTCTGTGGGTAATATATTGAATGATGCAGGAAACAGCAAAAGAAAATAATAGGAATACATAGCATCACTGTACCAGAAAAAATTAGTCAATGTGCATTAATTTCAGGAGGTGGTATATGATTAGCAACCAGTGGTATTGAAGGAAGAAGTCAAAGCTGCACTGAAGGAATTGGCGAAGAACAGGCTCTGGGAATTGATGGAATACCCACTGACAGGTTTCAGCAAGCAGATGCTGCACTGGAGGCACTCACTTGTCTATGCCAAGTAATTTGGAAGACAGCTACCTGGCCAACTGACTGAAAATATCCATATTAGTACCCATTCCAAAGAAGGGTGATCCCACAGAATGTAGAAATTATTGAACAATATCATTAATAATTCAAAAATGGTTGCAGCAGTATATTGACAGATGACTTCCAGAAATGCTAGCTGGATTCAGAAGACATGGAATGAGGGATATCATTGGTGGTGTCAGATGGATCTTGGCAGAAACAAAGAATACTAGAATGATGTTTACTTAAGTTTTATTGATTAAGCAAAAGCATTCAATTGTGTGGATCATAATAATGGACAACATTGAGAAGAATGAGAATTACAGAATACTTAATTGTACATAGACAAGGAGGTTGTTCTTAAAACATAGCAAGGGGATGCCACCTGGTTTAAAATCAAGGGAGTGTGTCAGTGTTTTATTTTTTCACTATACTTATTCCATCTGTATGATGAACAAATAATCCAAGAAACTGGACTATATGAAGAAGAATGTGGCATCAGGATTGGAGGAAGACTCCTTAACAACCTGCAGTATGCATTTGATACAACTTTTCTTGCTGAAAGTGAGGATGACTTGAAGCACTTATTGATGAAGATTAAAGACTTCAGTCTGCAGTATGGATTACATCTCAACATAAAGAAAATGAAAATCCTCACAGCTGGACCAGTAAGCTGCATCACAATAAATGGAGAAAAGATTGAAGTTGTTAAAGATTTCATATTACTTGGTTCCATAGTCAACACTAATGGAAGCAGCAGTCAAGACATCAGACGATGTATTGCACTGGCAAATATGCTGCAAAAGACCTCTTTCAAGTGCTGAAGAGCAAAGATGTCTCCTGAAGACTAAGTATGCCTCACCCAAGCCATAGTATTTTCAGTTGCCTCATATGCATGTGAGAGCTGGACAATGAATAAGGGAGACCAAAGAAGAGCTGATGCTTTTGAGTTGTGTTGGTGAAAACTACTGGAAGTACCATGAACTGCCAGGAGAAGTACCAAATCTGTCCTGGAAGAAGTGCAGCCGGAATGCTCCTTGGAAGCTAGAATGGCCAGACTTTGTCTCCTCTACTTTGGTCATGTTGTCTGAGGGATCATTCCCTGGAGAAGTATATCATGCTTGGTAACGTAGAAGGTCAGCAAAAAAGGGGAAGGCCTTTAACGAGATGTATTGACACAGTATCTGCAACATTAGGCTCACATATAGCAAGGATTGTGAGACTGGCAATAGTACTGGGCAGTGTTCTGTTCTGTTGTGCGTAGGGTTGTTATGAGTCGGAGCTGACTTGATGGCCCCTAACAACAAGAATACACATTACTCAGTGATATTTGTTACATTTTTCATAATGTGTCTGCAAAAACGGCAAGGAGGCCATATATTCTGACCTCCTCTAATTTCACAAGAGAAAGACAGGATTACCAGCAGTAACCCAAGGCCTATTACTGCAAGGCCAAACATGCTGCCTCCCTCCAGCCCTTTCACCAACCGTTC